TTGCTCTGCCCTTCAGTAGCAGAAAATCCACACGCTTTGCACCTAGCAGAGACAGGCTAATGGAAACAGGAACGGCAAGTTAAGCAGGTAATTAGAAACCAGACAGGCTTCCGCTTCCCAACTACACATTAACGTGCCCTGTATCTTCAAGGTATTCCTCACTTAAAGCAGCAAATACTGATTCTTTCCCTCTGGCTAACAAGTAAGGATGGCATTCCAATTTGCTTAATATTTCATGCATATAAGGAAATATGGAATAGACATGTCTGGAAAGATCTTCTCTACACTAGACACTTCCTGCATAACCAATCTCGTAAGAAATATCCTCCAGGAAAAACCAGAAGGAAACCTTAGCCAGAGTGATAAGCTAGCATTAAACACAGCTGTATTCAGCATTTTCTAATTTCTGTTACCTAGTGATAGGAATCTTCTACAACCCAGAAAACAAGATCAAAGGCTGAGCCAGCATTACACCTGCATAGACTGATGACACAGAAATAAATTGGCTTCAGCATAATAACAGGTCTCTGCTTTCCCGAGCTTATCATCTAAACTCGCTCTATCTGTGTGGGCCAAAGAGCCCAAGCCAGAACAACAACAAGCAGCCCTAGGTGAGGAGTCTGATCAGCTCATGAACGGAGGCAAACCTGCTTCAAAGGTGTGCACCAGCACCCAGCCTCAGAGACCTCAGCATAGACAACGTAAGTGTCCAGAAACTCACAAAGGCACATCGCAGGCCAGACTGGACAATCTTCTCCATTTTCCAGCAAAAGAACTTCTCTTTCCAAGCTCGGATAATGTCATTTATATATCAGAGAAGACAACAAAGTTATGAGGGATGCCCTGAAATCTAGTCAGGAAAGACAGAATGAAGCAATAAGTACTCAGGAGAAACAGAAACCAAATAGGACCATTGTCACTTCCCAGCTACAAGCTGCACATCCAGAACCGGAGAGCACTGCCGACTTGCTGGGAGGGCCGAGCACTGGATTGAGAGCAGCTGCCAGGGGGAAAGGAGGCCGGACTGTCAGGTAGTGACTAAACTACGGAATGCTTGGAACATGATCATTTTGAAAAGCAACTTTAAAACAAGTCATCTAAGTAAGTGCAGACAAAATTGGTAGCTATTTCAGTTGAATTTGGGTTGGCAACAGTGTTGTCAAGTACTCAGATTTGGGTTTCTAATTTGTGTTGCCATTATGCCTGAGGCTCACGGAAATCAGAAACCAAAGGTATACTGAGTCTAACGGACAGCAAGCCACAGGGAACGACACCCAGAGATAAGGGGTCAGTCAATGGTCGGCAGAGTTTTAGGCCACACTCCAAGATGTGCACTGAGTCTATGAAGACAGATGACTCGGCAAAGCTGAAATCCAGGAAGGAAAGTCAGACAGAGAGGACAGAGAAATGCTAAGGGCAGCAGATCTGCAGTTTAAGGAAAGCAGGTATAGCATGAATGTTGCTCCAAATACTAGTGCTAACTGCTGCCTACTGGATACATTTTGCTGATGAATTCACCAGAGTCTAAGACCCTGTGTTTCCATAGAACACAATGAAAAGTGCACCCCCATCAGTAAATTGTGTCAACTGTGCAATATTAGATACAGTGAATTAGAAGCTTATTTCTTTAAGTACTCCCAGTAGCAGATAGCCAAATGGTAGTTTGTTTTCCACAGAAGATATAAATCGTAAAGCTTGATATTTATAACGTCTGATGTTTCATTATTCTGTTCCTCTGAAATTTTAGATTTTCACAATATAAATGAAATATTCTTTAATTGCACAAATCTGACCATATACTCTTGCATTGCTTTGGACTTAGCTTTGGCTAAAACAGAAAGAGTAACAGTGCTCGACAGGATGCAGATGGAAAAGAATCAGAAAGCTTTTCAAAGTGAAGGTCATTCCCAAGCCACAGCAACATAAGCACAGTGATCATGTTGCCTGCCCTGACCTAGCAGCTTTGCATCAGTCTAGTCCACCTTGGAACCAAGGACTGCACTGCTCGGACTTCATTAACTGAGGTCAGTCTACCCTTTTTCCAGCAAACTGGAAATGTTTAGAGAGTGAACACAAGGATCCACACTTGTTCTTCAATCCACAAGGGCTACATTCTATACCATTCTGTTAAAAAGACCACCTCCCGCACCGTTCTGTGACAAGGGCCATCTTCCACACTGCTCTATCAAAGGGCTGTTTTCTGGCTGGTTAGGCAAAGCTGTAGGCCCTACCAGCATGAGCTGGAACTGGGGGCAGGCCAGGCCAGGCCACAGCACCCACTGGCAAATGCTGAGAGGTGAGGCACGCCATATCAGATTGGGCTGCAGCACCCAACCAGCACACATGAGACCCAGGGGCAGAGTGGGTGAACCTGATAGGGGGGCTACAGGGAGCTCCTGTACTGGGCCACTATACACATTGGTGAGCGTGAGAGCTGGGACTAGAGGCAGACCAGGTCAGGCAGGGCTACAACACCTGATGGTCTGCATGTACGCTGGGTCAGGGATAAGCCAGGCTGTGGGATTGTACCCACTAGTCCATGCATAAACCAGAGGAGGTGAGGGTTGGTTGGGCTTTGTTGCAACATCAGCTAGCAGATGCTGGAACTAGGGGGAAACTAAACTGCAGTACCACCTGGAGACTGCAAGATCTGAACGTGGGAGAAGGGAAACTCCCCTCTTGGGTCGCCACAACCACTGCTGAACATGAGAACCAGGACTGGGGCAAGCATGGCAAGGCAGCGTGGCACCTGCCAGCACTTGTGTGGGCTGGATAGTGGGGCTGGTTGGGTTGAACTAGGCTTCAATATCCACTAACCCGTATAAGAGTCTACAGCCACAACACCCTGAATGTGCCCGATCTCATCTGATCTCAGAAGCTAACCAGGGTTGGGCCTGGTTAGGACTTGGATAGGAGACATGTATAAGAGCTGAATGGGATGTGGGACAGACAGGACCAGTCTGTTGTTCATCAGGCAAGCACAGGAACCAGGGCAGGAGGCAGGCATGCTGGGCGCTTTTGTGGGTCGCCTGACTAGGCTGCAGCTCCCACTGGTTTCCGTGAGGGCCAAGTGTGTGGTGGGCAGGATCAGACTGGGTTGCAACACCCATTAGTTTGCGTGGAAGACAGGGCTGGAGACAACTGACCCAGCAATTGCAACTGTCTGTGTAGGCTGATTTGGGTGACAGACTGGGCCAGACTCTGTATTGGCAAGCACACACAAGAATGAGGTTCGAGGTCACCTCAGATGAAGTTTCTCTGCGAATGCCTCCCAGCTGAACTGCTGGACTCAGAACTCCATCCATGGAGGAAATTGCAGGTTTCTGACTGTGGAGTGCATGTGTCAGAGCTGGGCCTCCTTAGTGGCTTAGATGGAGCAGTGGACAGCATATCCAGAAGCACATGGAGAATATGGCAGTCCACTGGAGCCTGCAGAGGACACCTGGTACTGTAACAGAGGACGAAGACAGAACAAATCGACCAACTACCCCAGCAAAGAGTAGGCAGTGAATATCTGGGCAAATGGAGACTCTAAGGTGGACTATGTCAGCCAGTTTGGACAGTCTGGAGAGATTTCATCATAATTTGAGTGCCAAGATCAGCAGCAATACAGAACTGGACCCTCGGAGCATGCCCCACACTGGGGACCCTGGGATGGTTGGGAGGCTGAGTGTGGCTTCTCCCCTAACTCTCCCCTCCCTCCAGATACAAGAAGGAAAAAAAGAAAATTGCAAAATAGTAGTTTCACCCACTTCCCTCTAGCCCTTGACCCTTCGCACCCTAATCAAATATGTAAAAATTATCAAAAATAAAATGTATACAATTTAAAAAATCAAGTTGTAAAAACCTTCCGTGCCACTCTGTCACAAGGACCACCTCCCGCACCATCCTGTTACAACTCATTCTCAGCCCCTGCTGTCATTCATTTTCATTCTGCAGTGATTCGTGCTCAACTCCAGTAAGCAGGCTTCAAGACTGGCATTCTAACAGAATATGATTTCCAGAATCTCTCACCTTCTTGCAACCAAACCATACGAAAGAGGAAACATTCCTGGATCCTCCTCTCCAAAATAATTAATTACTTATTAGGGAAAACAAAAGTGTGACTATTACACTTGAAGAGGTATTAGATCTGCTCTCCTGTCCAGTGAACTGGACAAGCAGCTACCAGTGAGATCGGAGTGCCATCAGCAAACTACTGGGGTCCCCGCCCAACCAACACAATTAGTTACACCTGCTCAGCTTCTGACCACCTGAAGTCTGATTTTTCTAGTCCTAAACTTAGCCTGGAGATTTAAAAAACTCACTTTGGGTTTGAACCTCAGAACTATTAAACATAAGTAACAATCTTCTGTCTTACTGAGCTATTAAATATTTTGAAAACACTGTAAGTCACATTGTGACCTTTTTCCTGTAGTTTTAGTCCAGCATTCTCTATACTAACCACTGTATTTCACACACACTCATGTGCACACATGGCTAGGTTGGACACAGGACCATGGACCATGGGTTACAGGTACCAATCTCAGCCCAGCCCTCCAACACACGTTTACAAACAGGAGGATGATACAGAGTGCAAATGGAAAATCAACCATTTTTATTCTTCAGCTGTTCCACATCCAGTGTAATGTGACTTCCGAATAGTTCACTTTCGATAGTTCTCAAAAATTTGGTGGCAAGTACTTAGGGATGGCCTACTGAGTCTTCTGTTTTAAAACGGGATTTTACCTTAGGCTATACATTTTCTAAAACCAGAAAAGCACATTATTTTGGACACAGAATCTGTAATACTGCAGGTTTCATGCAGCTAGGGCTCGAGATCGTCTGAGCACCTCAGAGGCTCTGATGTTAGATAACGGCTCCTTTATCGGCAAGGCAGTGCAGTCCCACGGAACTACTTTCCATAGTCAACAGAACCTCTCTTTGCATAGATATGTGTATGTAAAAGCAGAACATTCATATCAAGCCCAGAGTGCCACAGAAGGTAATTAGACGAACAGCAAAGTCCTTTCATGCCTAGAAAAATAAAATGCTGGGAGTCTTATGAAACTCCGGAACTCATGTCTAAGGATCATCACAAAGAGACAATAGAACACAGCATGGTGGACCGCTCATTGTGATACACTTGTAAGTATGAGATTCTATTAAATAATATATATTATAAACAATTAGTGGGCAGTGATATTTTCCAACAGCAGGATTGCTCAGAGTGAACCAAACCTTGTAGATCTATTCCTGCGCTAGCTTAGGCTATCTGTAATTAAAACTTATGATCACCTCAGATACAAATATTTTCTAAGTTGGGTGGCACAGGAAACATTACAGTTTTAGATTAGGGTATATGCTTTTATTTCATGTATTTTGTGATCATATGTGCATTTATGTAAAGCTGCATTACTAAATCATGCACTTGAGAATTGTTTCTAAAGTCATGCATTTGCCAAATGATCAGTTCCCCTTTTTATGACCCTTCCTGACTACATGCGCATGGTTGTGAAATTTACCTGAAGGAATGATAATCTTCTTTCAAATTTCTTCATCCCTTCAAATTATGCCCAATACACAAGGTGCTTGCTGTTGAAGGGACACAAAGTTTGCATGCTAAGACAATCAGTCTTCACAAAGTGTAAATTTCTCCAGATTTTTCTGTATTTGATCTAACATGATATATCACAAGTATATTTAAATGCAGATACTTTATATACACAAAAGAACTTATTGATTGCTTATCAGGATAATAAAAGTGTATTAACATGTCAAAATGCTTAAGAAAAATCTTATATTTTCACGCTGCTGGAAGATTTCATTTAAATGTTAGATAAAATCGAATTTATTTCTTCTGGCTTAGCACATACTCATTTCAAGTCATCACTAACATATTTACAAGTACTCTAAGTTCATCAGTAAAATATATTTTTTCTTTCAAATGACTATCAAGAGAAAGCACTGGAAGCAAAATCAGATGAGAAACCAACCTGCTTAAAGTACTCTATGCTTAGGGGGTGATTGAGCACACCGGCTTAACTAAGAGGGTATTGGAAAAAGATAGGCAAAGGAAATATAATTTTTAAAAGCAATGGAAATACAAATAACATAGGAATTTAATAATAGTCACATAAAATAAATAAAATTCTACATAAATATTTAATAAATCAAAAACTGGGATAACCATAATCCAGCATTTAGACTGGAAAAATTATTTACTTAGACCTTCAGACAGGACTTATAGTTTCTTGCAAAATGTGCATTCTCTAGAAAGCACACAAAAATCCTTTCTTTTCGCTTGCTTTTATTGTTTTACTCTTAGCACAGAGGAATGTTTTCACATATCAAACCACCAACATAAAAGAAATGGTGGTTGTTGATCTGAAACTTGTTGAATTTATCCACAATATAATGATGGCCCAGATATGTGAATATTAGTATGTATTGTTTGATTTTGGGTCATTCCTTCATTGGGAACTCCTCTCCTCTTTTTTTTAATCTATTTATATGGAAGGCAGAGTGACAAAGACTTATCCTAGACATCTTTCAACTGCTGCTTCATTTCTCCAATGGTCTCAGCAGCCAGGGCCAAGTGGACCCAAAGCCAGATCCAGGAACTCCATCCTGGGTACCCACGTGATGGCAGGTTCTAAGTCCTCGGGCCACCCTTTGTGCCTTCCCAGGTACCTTAACAAACTGGAATCGGAGTAGACAGACTTGAACTAGTACTCCAACATGACATGCCAGTATCCCAAGAGGCAGTTTAACACCAGGAACAGAACTACACACACACACACACACACACACACACACACACATATACAGTTTTTTTAAATCCAACAAGTATCACTTCTTAAGGAATTAGAAAAGCTAAGATTTGCACTTTGGGGGATTATCAAAAATATTTCTTAAACGTTCTCAGCTGGGGGGGGAGGGGGTGCTGGGTCTACCAGTTGCACTGGTCCTTGTGACTCCTTCATCTTAATTCAGAATGCCTGAGATGGAGTTGTGTGCTCAACCTCAAACCCAGCCTCCTGCTGATGGGAACCCTGGGAGCAGCAGGTGCATCCGACAAGCAGCTGGGAGGCTGCCACCCTTTGGGAGATGGAGATTGAGAGCCTGGCTCTCTGCTTCAGGCTGCTCCAGCCCCAACTGATGTGGGTATTGGGAGTAATCAGAGCATGGGGGCAATGTCTGTTTCCCCTTTTTTTCTCTGTTTCTTGAATTAAAAGACCGTTCCAAATGTGTAACTGTGAAGGCTTTCACTCTTCCACTCTATATTTTGATATAATAAACTAGAGATGAAGCTGAATTGTTTAATTTTATCATTTAAATAATTAATAATAAATTCTTTAAGAATGTATTTAACAGCATTTATCTACCCTTGAATTCAGAACTGCAAATATTTCTTTTTAAGACACTAGCAATTTTGGAAATTATCTGTCTTCAGACTTTAATTTTATTTTCTTTCCTTAAGATTTATTTTATTTTGTATTGGAAAGGCAGATTTAAACAAAGGAGAGACAGAGAAAGATCTTCGATTCACTGGTTCATTCCCCAAATGGCCACAAAGGCTGGAGCTGAGCCCATCCAAAGCCAGGAGCTGCTTCCATGTCTCCCACGTGGGTGCAGGGTTCCAGAACTTTGGGCCATCCTCCACTGTTTTCCCAGACCATAAAAAGGGAGCTGGGTACACCAGCCAGGACACAAACTGGCAGCCATGAGGGAAGCTGACACTAGCAGGCAGAGGGTCAGCCAGTTGAGCCACTGCCTCAGCCTCCTGTAATAACACTTTCCTCGTTTTTTTATTCAGATGAAGTTACAAAGCCTGTATTATCTCTGCTCATTTATAAGTCAAGAAAATTTTCATTTCCTCTCCTTTACTTCTTCCAAAAATACTCCTGAAACATTGGGTCCTTTTCTTTCTCCATGTTTAATCCTTTTTCTCTTCCTTGCTAAGTCTTTTATATTCACTTCCAATGGCTTTATCAGTATTATGGTTGGAAGAGGGAATAAACACAGGAAATCCATAAGACCTGCTTGACAAGATCTGGGTTGTGTAGCTGTGGATTCACTCTTGTTTCAATATAGAAGGCAACATGAAGACAGAGCAGTGCCCCATGAAGTTTTAGAGTAGAGTAGGAATGCATGATGGCATGAAGCCAGCGGTTAACTAAGGAGGAAAACCGGTATGGGAGCAGACATTCAGTCCAGGCAAGCTCAGAGAACAAGCAACGGGGTATTAGGCATTGGGGAGTGGTCTGGAAGCCCAACCCCAGCTCCTGGGATAGTATCCAACATGTCCTATATCTTAAGGGAATGTAAAACCAGACAATTTTATAAAATACAACTTTTGTAATCTAGTTATTCTATGAAGAATGCATTATTACATACTTCCATCACTAAATCTCTTCAATTGTTGTTATCTTTATGATATTAAGTAGTACTTGTGTTTTGTAATTTAATAAATCTGCAATATGTATGACTTAGAATACTACACAACCACTTTTCAGGATTATCAAATAACATTTGAAAATAACACAGGGAATTTACAGTCTTGTAGGGTTAGATCAACTAGGAAATATTAGTGCCACGATTTTTATATATTTACACTTCATTCCTTCTCCAGCATCCCTAACTGATTTAGTACCTGGTATCCAAGAACCTTCCTATGCAGCAAATAGCTGAGCACAGGGCTGTTGCTGGTTTCTAGAAAGCCTTGGCAGAATTTACATTAGAGGCAGTCCCTTGCACCCTCTGCTGAAACCCCGCGGGGTCCCCCAGCTTACTAAGGGTCATCCATGTGGATCACAGATGCCTCTCCCTGCAGACCAGGCATCTCTGTAAGGGGACAGCCTACTTAACTGCGCAAAGGGACGTTGTGACCTTCCCACCCCCTCATCCACTTCCTCTCCAGTGTTCAAAACTGCCTCTGCCCTTCAGGCCCGAACACATCCCTTCTGGTGGGGTGCACAGGCCCAGATGTAGCAAAAGCCCTGTAGCCAACTCAACTCCTTTCAAAGCTGAGACTCAATCACTAATGTAACATATCAACAGAAACATACCAGCTGCACTGGAATCTAAAGGAGAGCAGGATACACACCAAGAGAATGTGTTTTCTGTATCTACAAACAAATATTCCCTTAGTGACAGAGTGTAAGAAAGTGTAAATAAACTGAAACAGAAAGTTTCAGCATATGTGTATTTTTCTAATCATTGCAGTTTTGTTTCAGAGAAAAAGAAATAGGGAACTTGAGAGTTTAATGTGACTTAGTTCACACAACTATCAAGTGCTTGAACTCAAAAACCTGTCTGTGCTCAGAGCCCAGGACTCCTGGCAGATACTCCGCCAGCCCTCCTGAGTCCCCAGAGTCCCCAGAACTGGAGGGCCTGCCTCTGCGATGGCCCGCTCTGTGCTTGACCTCAGCCTGCTCTGCACAGTGAAGCTGTTCTGCTTTGGGCAAGAGACACCTCTAAAATTACAAAACATAATAATCTTTAGATACACATACACCTGAGTTGTAGAAAACATGTATGCACAGTTACAGTTGATCAAGCGAGGCTGTAATAGGATATTTTTAAAAGTTGTTTAAAGCAGAAGGTAGAAAAGAGATCAAGTGCCAGGAGAAAACCAGCCATTCTAGCTCGTTACACTGACAGTGAAATGCAGGAAGGATGTTCTCCATCACCCTGCTGCTGGGAGATAAGCAGACAGCCCCCGGGTGACTATCTCAGTGATCACACAAAAGAGGATACAGGAAACTTCGCCCTCGGTGAATGTGTTTCTGAAGCCACTTATAACCAGGATCAGTTAGAGACGGCCAGTCAACACCAAGGCTTGCTTAGCCTCAACTATGTCAGTGTTCGTCATCTTCATGCTTTTCATCTTTCCAGAAAGTGTTAAATTCTCACACTGCCATGAAGAGACCTCCATGGATTACTATTGTCAATGAAACTGAGTCTACCACCTTTACATCTACAGCCGCTGGGAACCTAGCCTTACACAGAAACGTATCTCTTTAGTAAAACTCTCCTTTGCTGAAGCTAATTGGAGCCTTCATTTCTAATCCACACTCCACTCCCTTTGCACTTTGCTCTTTCCTGAAGATTTGAGTGCATTTAATTCTCTTATTCTTCATCAGCTTCCTAAACAGGGTAAATTCACACAGAATCTGAAATCTATCAGATCATACCTCCTGGAATTTTTTTCTTGAGATCTGCACATGTGCTAATTGGTACCTATATTTTCTCCACTACGTCCAAACACGAGCAAACAGTAACTTCTTCCAATCTCCACATTCTGAATTCCAACCGCTGTTTGCTGCTCTGTCTTCTGTCTCTGCCCGTGACAATCGTTTGATAACTTCAGGATATGTCACCCACCACACCGCAGGCTTCATTGTAATGACGCCCTCTAGAAACAGATCTTTTTGTTAACAAATATAACAGTACTTTTCAATCTTTTCCTTGCTTAATTTTCACAGCTTTTTAACACTCAAGAACTCATTCTGTGACTTTTAATGAACATATTCCTATTTTTTAATGCCTCATTATTGGGATTTTCCCTGCAAACTCCAGCTCTTTCACAGCTACTATCCCCACTGGTGGTGTTGTTCAGTCTCTCATCTTAGGGAACCTAATTTTTCAGTTTATTCTCTCTTTTTAAAACAGTTTATGGGGGAATACTCTATGCATTTTGGGAAAACTGCACACAACCTCATCTGCCTTGAAATCAAATCACGCACGTGAGTGCATTCCCTTCTCTCACATTCCAACATCAGCGCATCCCGAGTGTCAGGACGGCCGAGTGATCTAAGGTGCCAGACTCATAATCAGGCCACCGACATTTCTGTTAATTCTTCCTCCAAAATACCTGCCAGCTATTCCCTTCCCTCCAACTCATCGGTCACTCTAATTATCCTTCAGCTGGACTCCTCTGGTCACCTCCTATTTGATCTCCCTGTTACATCACCGTCCACTCCACTCCACTCACAACCCAGCTTTAGACATGAACATGGCTACTCCCAATTCTTAAATCTGCAATCATTTTCCAACTCCTAACCATAACATTCACAGCCTGTATAGTTTAATGTACTTGGCTCTTACCTGTTACAACTTGACCCCCCAACACTTTCTTACTGCACTGAATATTTTTTTAACACAGTTACTGATGCAGCCTTAATTCTGCTGCCTTCTCTAACTTCGCACTCTCTGGCTCGCTCGCTCTGCCATCCTCCAGATTGACTCAGGAACTAAATTTCTTTCCTCCAAAAGGACGTGACCTTCTAACCTTTACCCAAGCTGCCCCTGTTTCACTCCGCGCTTTCCTGCACATCCTGCTAGTTCCAGCTCTGACAATGCTTTACCGGATGCCTTCACTAACCACTCTCACATCAACCAGGTTCTCGTACGCGTACTCACAGCCTCTGTATTTCCAGTATCAAAGCCCCCATCTCATGTATGTTATTGTCAGTGAGGATGGGAACATCAGAGAGATCTCTGTAGATTACTGGCAAGCAGAACTTAGCACAAAAAAAAAAAAAAAGTTTTTTTTTATGAGTCAGCAAAGGCTGATAAAAATTTGTTTATCCATAATTCATTGTATATAAGTGATATATATGTTCATCAAACTATGTGAATTTCATTATTCTTAGATTTTTAAGCTATTTCCTCAATCCTGAGTTTGATAACCTCTATGACATCTGTTTTTATGCAAACAGTGCCTGGGCTGGCTGAGTAAATTCTCCCTGAATTTTAAGGTCAAGGCAATAACACTTCAAACGCATGAACTAGATGATTAATTCCTATCTCATAATCAACCCTTAAGGAAGTTTACTCTTTGACTATTTACCCATTTTATCTAATTATAAAGAAAAAATCCTGTAGGATGTATTAAGAAAGCTTTCTAAAAATGAGAATTATCCCAAAAAGGAGCCATTGGGGGTTGATGATGGACAGTGACCTCGAAATGGAACGATCTTTTACAGAGATCTGTGCCTCTTTACCAAATCCTATCAGATGAGTTCGAAAGTCGTTTACTGTGAAATCTAAGAAATGGTTCACCTGTCGCCCTCCCCTCCCTTCTTCCACCAGGTAAATCATCCCAGTCAGTTCAAGAGTCCATGCTTACTTTTCATGATGTATAATTTTATATGATTTTTAAAACTAGAACCCTAACAGATAATTATTTTAAATTACTAAACTATAAAAAAAATACTGTATTTCTTTAGGAAAATGAATAGACGAAACTGTTGGATTTGTAAAATGTGCAGAGACGAATCTAAAAGGCCCCCTTCAAAGTAAGTAGCATTTAAAATCTGTAAGTATGTTTTGAAATATTTAACATGGGATAAACAATGCCACCTTAATATATTTTTCAGAGAAAAAGCTTTGCATTTACATATGAGTAATTCCACCAGAAGAGCAATCATGTATGACACTAAGAATCTGTATTAAATATTTACTATAATTTATACTTGACAAGTCAGCAAGTTAAATGATTTTACATTTATCATTTTTTAATCTTTGTTTTATATTATTTCTGCTGAAATGATACTCTTTTTATGCACATGCTTTCACAATTAAAACCTACCATGTATAAAGTGTCAGAAACTTTCACCCTGAAATGTAGACAAAACTGAAAAGATAAATGCTTACCAAATTCCAGGTTTGCCATATTTTGCCATCACTAAAAATACAGCCATTTGAATGAGAAAAGTGACCAATTACAATGCAAAACAAAGCCTGAGAAAGGTAACCACTCTTCAGTTGGACCACATATAATTCCCAGTTTGAAGATGTTGGTTGGGTTATCCTATTCCACAGCAAGACCTCAATTCTGGCACAACTTCCAGTGTGAGAATAACTTCTGGCATGCGTGCTTCTCCACTGAAACATCAACATGTCCAGAAATGCCTGTAGCCACTGCGGGGAAGAGGATGCTACAGCGCTGAGCAGGGAAGGCAAGACAAGAGCTTAACAGCTGGATTACACCCACATGGCCTAGCGAGACATGGAAGCAGCTTCTCATTTCTCTTGCTGAGTTCCTGAGAGTTTCACCATCAGAGCTTGTATTTCCTACTACCTGTCCTGCATATCCATCATGGAGGAAGAGGAAAGCCAAGAAACAATCCTTCACATTCATGCAAGGCTGCCAGGCAACTCAGATTTCGCAGGCGTGATACATCCATGACCTAAATTAGGTTCCATAATTTTATGAGATACTCACAATTATCTCCATTTCATAGATAACAAAGTGGGAGTTTAAGTTCAGAAATACCAAAATTATTAAATACAGCAATAGAAGTAGAACCAGGGACTATCAGATTCCACTCTTTCCCTCCTTATCAGCAATGTCATGTTGTCTCCAAATGCTCCTGTATATGTTTGGTATCCACTGTCCAGAAGAAAGAAAAGGATACAAAAGTGGAGAACTATCAGTAAATTCGGGTATTTCAGGGGAATAAGGACAGTTCTTAGACTAATCCTAATAAAAGCACCTGGAGGCCCATGTGCTAGTTTGAATCTTGTGAGATACAAAGAAATTAAGAGCAAATTTCATCTCACTACTTCATCCCCAACCATAGTTACTATAATCAGGATCTCTCTCAATCTATCTCATGAATCTTAGAGTCAAAGGAATTCTCTTACCAGTCATTACCAACACTTAATTTTAAGCTAACCCACACAGTGATGGCATTTTTGCTGGTGGAGATGTTTATTCTTTCCTATTTAGAGAACAAGATTAAAGCAGAAAGGCCTAAAATGATCCCTGCCTAGCTATTTCTATTTCACTAAATTTTAAATATACATATTATATATATGTGTGTGTATACGTATGTGTATATATAATTTTTCACTTAATCTGAAAAGGAGAGAGAGAATGAGAATCTTCCACCTGCCAGTTCACTTCCCAAATGTTCAAAAAGAACAAGACCAGGCATACCAAAGTCAGGAACTCAGAACCCAGTCTGTGTTTAACAACTGGGACGTCAGCACTTAAGCCGCAGCCACTCCCTCCCAGGGTGCACATTAGCAGCAAGCTGGATCAGAAGCAGGGCCACCAGGACCCAGGCACTTAGAGATGTGCACATCCCAACAACAGTGTGACTGCTGCACAAACACCTGCCTCTTCCTGGTACTTAAGAAATGATAACTTTAAAGAACCTTGTAAGTTTGAACAAGAGCAAGGAGCATTGAGTCCAATATAACTTTGTGGAAATATTTCCTGAAACTAATCTTAACATACTATTAATATTTTCTGAAAGTAATTTTAGCACAGTGTTAAGCCTCCATACTGATGCAAATAGTCCATCCAAAACTAGCAATAGCCACCTGAATTTTCAAAAAAACCCAAAATATATTTGATTGCTTTAAGGCTCTCAATTTTCCATGTATCAGGTCAGTTTTTAACCTCTCTAACCATCTCTCACTGTGTTAAGAACCTGCTAATGCTGACGGCTGATCCACTGTTGAATTAATTACTGAGATAACTTGCAAACCACAGCCAAAGGACAGTGTTTCTTTGCATTTACAATAATCTTTTATGTAAATTTAGTTGTAGGAAGCAGGAAAATTTAGAAATTTCCATACACTGAATGTCAATGAACACATTAACTACTTTGAAACAAACATTAAATTACTTGTACACAAAATGACAGCTCACCAAAATAAAAGCTGGAAAGTAGCTTTGCGCTTTTAAAACTATGTATTTGAAATACATGTCAACTGCTCCCTTTTTATACATTTTTATAAATTTGAGAAAAATAAAGGAAGCTTCAATAGCAGCATCTTTCACAAAAATTTCTAAATGGTAAATAGCTTTACAGCACTTAGGGTAAATGAACCCAACAAATAACATAACTTAGTGCCACCAAAACTCCAAAATAATTATCCAAGTAATTACCCAAGGAAATATCCAAGTTAGATATCAAGAAAATAAGGTGCATAATTGTATTTATTTACTGTTTGAAAAGTAAATGTAGAGAGCAGCATTACTGCACAGATCGGTAAGGCTGCTGGTATCCCATATCTAAACCAGTTCAAGTCCTTGCAACTCCACTTCTGATCCAGCTCCCTGCTGATGGCCTGGTAAAAAGGAGGAAAGCGGCTGTTTGGGCCTCTGCCCCTCCCATGGGATACCTGGAAGAAGCTCCTTGCCCCTGTCTTCTGCCTGGCCACACACTGGCCCTTACAGCCAACTGGAAAATGAACCATCCAATAGAAGATTTTTTCTTCTCACTGTAACTCTTCCAGAGTAAATGTAGGTAGGTTTTGGAGAATCCCTAAATCCCTAATGGACTGCTAGGGGCAGAAGTACACAGTGTGAATACACATCTTTGGTTATTTGCATGAAGGACCGTAACAATGTGTACCTTCCTGGTCCACTGGGATTCGATTTCTGCTAACTTCCTTGTGAAAAGCCCAATATTTGACCTTTAAAGGTAAAATAAATATTCAAGCAGACGTGAGGCCTGGTGGTAAGGACACCATTAGCTGCCTCTTCCACTCTGGAATACCTGAGTGTGGGGCCCAGTCCTCTCCCAACCCCAGCTCTTGCTCCGGTGCACCCACAGAGGACGCAGCTGACAGTTCCATTACTCCCAGCCCTGCCCACCTTGTCAGAAACGTGAACTGAGCTTTGGCCTGGCCTAACCAACTTGTTGCTAATATTTGAGAAGTAAACCAGTGAATACAAGATGTTTTCTCTGCCCTTCAAATAAATAAAATCAAAAATGAGAGTAATCGCATCATCTATCCATTGTCTGCTTGCAGAGTATGCATTTACTACAAATGATACTATTGCTTATTAAAAATTTATAATTACAAGTTGTAACATGATAAATGATTAAGAACTGTGATAGTATAGGTAACAGTTACTAGAAGTCCCAACACATACAGTACACACAACACACACAGCCTAAGTACTTCTTGCTTAAAAACACACCAATATGGGTCCAGCACGACAGCCTAGCAGCTAAAGTCCTCGCCTTGTATGTGCTGGGATCCCATATGGGTGCCAGATCTAATTCCAGCAGCCCTGCCTCCCATCCAACTCCCTGCTTGTGGACTGGGAAAGCAGATGAGGACAGCCCAAAGCCTTGGGACCCTGCACCCACGTAGGAGACCCGGATGAGCTCCTGGCTGTTGTGGCCACTTGGGGAGAGAAGCTACGGGCGGGAGATGTTCCTCTCTGTTTCTCCTCATCTCTGTATATCTGACTTTCCAATGAAAAAAATGAAACAAAAAACACAAATATAATCAAAAAGAAATCTTAAAAAGACATCAGACTACTAATGCTCATAATTGAAGACTAAGGAGTTACTGGTGTCTTGGCCCTTCATCTTGTTAGAATTTATTTTATCATAATTTCAAGTATATACTACTTCTAATTTTTAATTTAGGTAGTGTAAGTAAAATGTAAGAGATCATAGGAAGTTCAATTTTTGTTCCAAACCAGACAAAAATGGAATGTAAATCTATTTTGGTAATATTTTTCAGATAATATCATTCAGTTCAGCAAAATCGAGAATATTTTAGTACTATCAACATTTTTTGTTTCCTTTTAAAGCCTTACCTTGGAGGAAGTGTTACAGTGGGCCCAGTCTTTTGAAAATTTGATGGCTACAAAATGTAAGTATGATGGAATAACTAGCCAGTTTCTTTCTGGTATCCAACCCTTCTCGCACAACCTTCCAAGTGACAACTCACACAGCTGAAAAAGGACACGTGAGCTTACTGTGTCACCCACGACTTTTCTCTGGTGTTAAAGAAGACAAGATTAGTCACTGGGACGATTCTTTTGTTCACAAGTGTATGTGCAAAATCCCTGGAGAATATGCTTAAATAGTAACATGCCCCGAGACGTGCTCTTCTAAAGTTAGTATTTTTTTTTTTAAAGGGAAAGTTTGCTATTCTCAGAGTCACTAAAACAATAGATTTTAGTCTTTACGTTATAAACGTTCTCCTCAAAGTTTGCTTCCGGTTTTACCAGTGTCTGACTTACATGAGACCGTTGGTGGATCCACGGATAGGTGCATGGTTAAGTATCAACACGCAGAGGATTCTGAAACAGCAATGCGTGTGAGGCAGAGTGCCCAGGCCCCAGCAGGAGCTAGCCATGAGGTGGAAGGCCCAGTCAGGCGAAGAGGACTCTGGAGTGCAAAGCTGGCAAGTTACGCCAGACAATACCGAATAGGAAAGGTACTGGGCACACGTACTCACACGGCTTATTCTGTTGAACTCCATTTTTTAAGTTAGTCCCCCTCAAGTGTTTTCAGGCTTTTTTTCTATAGATCTATATTTTTGCCAAAGGCCTTTTCAGTGTATGATCCCCTTTTTGGCTCTTTGTAAATATTAAATCTTTTTTTTTACTCACGTATGTTTATTATTCACCACAAAATTTGTCGGTGTAGTGGCTCTTCCCTCTCTCTCCAGCTCCTCCCTCCTGGTTTTCCTTAAGTTATGATAGCGGTATGATCCCTTAGTAACAGCTACCAGATGAACTTTTTAATATGTTTAAAGCTAGTTACTGCAGGGAAGTTAGCTGTGAGAGACAGATGTTTGTTAGGGGCATGCTGGCTATTCCGGACAGGATAGCTCCTGTTCCTCCGGCCACTGGCCGTGCACCAGGGCCACAACATACTCTCCTTCACTCAAGTGACCCTCTTTGGTCTAAGCGCAGCTGACCTGTCTCGCCCAGAGAGCAATGGTGTGCATTCTGAGCTCAATTTTCCTGCTGAGTCACCTTAATTCTGGAACTGACTTCATGGCCCCTCCCTTGGTGCCAGAATCTATACCTCCAGCCTCGGCACACCACCTAAAGCTCCCACTTTTTGCTTTTAGGCTTTTTTGTTATGTTTTTAATTTATTTTTTTAAATATTCTTTACACAGTAGAGAAGGATACACATGCATTTCTGCTTAGGTTGGGAAAGGTCAGGGTATGAAGGAACACAGGTGGGACAATAGTTTCAGTTCCATTCTGTTCTTTTTTTCTCCTGTGTCTGCTGAGGGGAAAGAGGGGAGGATGCTCCTTGCTGGCAAATTACGTCAGCAGCTGGGGATGATGGAGTCATTTGAGGACACTTTAGAGACTCCCGATGTGGAAGGAATGCTCCAAGGGTGTTTGAGTGTTTTTGTTAGTTCTGAGATGTTTTCAGCTTCTTTGCATCAGGATTGAGAAAATCTTCCCAAGGTTTATTGGTTCACAAAATCCACCTTAGTGCATCCATAGACCCAGGAACATGCTGCAAAGCTTGGCCAGGAGAGCTGTGTAATCTGTTCTGCTTTCTATTCCCTGACAAAGCAATTGACATCCTCCACTGGCCTAGCTGAGCTGGCAGTCACGTCCTCCATGTACATGTAGACATACTGTTCACTTCACAGGCATCAGCAACTAAGAAGGCCCGGTCTCAATACACAATCTCCAATGTTAGAATTTATTTCAATATTCCCTGCAGCCGGGGTTTGAGTCCAATGATCTAGTGGGGCATCTCCCAAGAAACCTGGTCTAGGACTCAGACCTACCTGTGTGTGCCAGCTAATGCAGTGTTTAGTTCAGTCTGTCACCTGCACTAGCCAATGCACAACCTGGTGGATGCAGCCTCCCCTCGCCTCATCTCTCACATAAACCAGTAAATGTGATGCCTTGGTCCAGCCTAGCCTGCCATAGGCTCCCCTATGCACTTTTAAGTAGATGCTGCTTTCAGCCTGGTCAAACTACATGCATTTTGACTCTTGTCTGTGCCAGCAGTTTTAGCAGCCTAGACAAACTTGGACCATGCCACACCCAGCCCACACACCAGACAACAGGTGCTACAGCCCTGCCCAACAGACCCACCCCAATCCCAGTTCTCAACTCACCAGTGGAAACAGCAGTTCAGAAGGGGAATCCTGAAGTTCCCCTACTAGTTCCACCTCTAGCCCAAGGTCTTCAGTGTGTGGGTAGGTGTTCCGGCCCAGTCTGGCATGGCCTCACCCACTCTCAGCATTTGCCAGTAGATGCCACAGCTTGGCTCAGCCTGACCCAACTCCAGTCCCAGCTCTTTCCAGTAGGTGTATCAGCCTTGCCCAGACAGACCCACACCCAGCCCTCATGTGAACTGGCTGGTATTGAAGCGTAACCCATCCTGGCCTGCACTGTGTCCTGGCTCTCACTCATGGCAGCATGTGCTGCATATTGGCCTGGACCAGCCCAACCCCAAACCTAGTGCACATGTATGCTAATGGGTGCTTCAGCCTGGCTTGGCTTGGCTCATCACCAGCCCAGACTCTTGTGCTCCCCAATATGAGGGACGCATAGCAGGGGAGTTTCTCAAGTTCCCCTAGAATGCCTAGATCTCTCTTGTGCAGGCGGGTAACACAACCCTGCATGGCATGGTATGCCATCCTTGCTGGCCTTTGCATGTGCTGGCATATGCTTAAGCCCAGCCCATCCTGGCTTCCTTCCAACTGCAGACTTCCATGAGTGTGAGTGAGTTCCCTGGTCCAGCCTAGTTCAAGCTCATCACTACCCCTAGCTCTCACGCAGACTGGTGGGTGCTGCAGACTCAGAGGCAAGGACACAAGTACTTAAAGAATCTGCCCCCAGATCCGGTTCTCCCACTCTCTGGTAGGTGCTGTGGCCCAAGGTAACTTGGCTAATGTCCTACACCAACATTCACAAACAGGCACCATGCCCCCGCCCAACCAGACATGCCCTCTAACTCCAGCTTTTGCATGTGCTGGCAGGTGATGGGTGATGCTATTTAGTCCAGCCCAGGTGGGGGGCCTGGGCTGGTGCCTTGGCCTGACACAGACATTCCCTCTAAATCACTCTGTCTCGGTTCCAGCACCTACTTTCAAGAGCAGTTGGCCCAGTGCAAACATTTCCACTTTTTGTAGCAGAATTTTCCTAGCAGCAGTTGTGGCCAAGAATTTTCAGATGTAATAATGAACTATGCCTCTTACTTTTCAGGTATTCCACATGGTTTGTGAAACAATTTATGGTATAATCATGAATTTTATAAAAATTTACTTATTTTTATTTGAAAGGCAGATTTACAAAGAGAAGGAGAGAGAGAAAGGAGCTTCCATTTGCTGGTTCACTCCCCAAATGGCCACAGCCTCTGGAGCTGAGCTGATCTGAGCGCAGGAGGAAGAGGCATCCTCCAGGCCTCCAAAATGAACGAGCACAGGGATTTGAGGCACCCCTGCTCCGCCACTCTCCAAGTCCACAAGCAGGAAGCCAGATTAGAAGTGGAGCAGCCAGGACACTAACCAAAGCCCACATGGGATGCTGGCACTTAAAAACCAAGGACTAGCCTATTGAGCCACTGTGCCTGCCCTAATTGTGAATTTTTAAAAATGAATCTTCTGGGCCAATTTTAGAACATGAAATGGAAGGACGAAACATGTGTGTGTGTGTGTGTGTGTGTGTGTGTTTATGTGTGTGGTGCACTGTCAGAACTCATCTTCTGCTAGTAATGTACAGTCTTTACCTTCTACAATCCATGTTTTATAACACTACCAAATTAATCTCTTGGAGCTCCAAACTCTTCATATGTAAGTAGTAAGAATATCAAACATCTACCCAGCATTATTGTACAGGCTAGCTATAAAAAAACTCTGCTCAATTTCTTATACAAGTTAGACATGCAATATTTGGTAGTTACTTTTATTAATAACAAAATACCTTTGAAAATCCCTCATTTTCCTTATTCATATAAAAAAGCCCAAATTTTTGATATTCAAGACTAATATAATTCATATTCTAAGTTTCATCTTCCCTATGTTCCTTCAGATACCAGGCGAAGCACCAATATGACCCTCCACCTTTCCTACGCCTCCACGCCTCTCCTGCTGCGAACTCTGTCTCCTCGACACACTCTGCTTGTCTCTAACAGAAAACAGGGTTGCAGCTCTTAGAAACAGGCTCCCTACAGACTGCTCCTAACTGTAGCTAGCTTTCAGGGACATTTCCAACAGGGCACACTGCTTCCTATTCACATTTCATCCTCTAGAAAGATTGAGCACATGCTAATTAGTGAACATGTAATATGTGCTCAACGAATAAATGCAGAATCAATATTAGTAATACTCTTTCGTACCAATTTTCCTGCAAGTTGTGAAGGTCTTATGAACAAAGTGAACAGAGCTATTTGTCAATGGCTGCAAATTGACTCCCACATAATTTACAGGTCCAGTATCAGAAGCAGCGGCAAACTATAGAGAAAGATTAATGCATGAAGACAGCACTTTTTACAAAAGCCAGCAGAAACACAGTAAATCTTGCCAGAAACTGAATTACTGTCCTGTGAAAATTCAAAATCAATTAGTCAATAAGTGCTAAAGTAAATCTCCATTTGGTGCACTGAACCAGAAAGAATACAAACAGCAAATCATGCCAGAAAACAAAAGCACGCTTACATCAACCAAGAACAACAATCCAATGCATCCGTTAGACTAAGAAAGGAAGGTGCCTATTTTTTTTTCCTTTTACTTTTGAAAGAGCTACAGAAAAAAAAGGAAGGGAGAAACAGAGAGGTATTCCATTTGCTGCTTCACTACCCAATTGACTGTCGTGGAGGAGCAGGGTCGGTATGAAGCCTGCAGCCAGGAGTTTCTCCAGGGTCTCCCACAGGACCCAAGCACC